TGCCGGATAATTGTGTTGGTTTACCAACATTTTTACTCTAATTTTTTTATTAATACAATTTGTAGTGGCAACTGCATTGTATAACCAACCCTACATCAATATGCAGCGAAATTATATAGACTGCATTAATATTATAAACAGTGACAAGATAGCTAAGTCGGACAGAATTCAGGAATTCTGGGTTCAAATCCTAAGGTTTCGCCATTGCTAATATACCCATGAAAGGTGACATATAGAGTCTAATGTGTTTTTCGTTGATTGGAGAAGTGGGGAGGGGGGCTTTGATTGATGACTGGTGACCAGTTAGAGCATCTGTCTTGAACTTTGAGGTCCCAGGATTGAACAAGTCTCAGATCTTTAACTCATTCACCCCTGAAATTTCATAATGAACTATTCTAATCTTTGTATTGGAAGAGTTCAAATGTGTCTTCAGGGGTGAATGAGTTAAACAAGTACTCATGTATAATATAAGAGTTCAAAGAAAATGTGTTCCTCGACAAAAGTGAAAATTTGTTGGCTAATATATTATAGAGTTTGATATGTTTGACAGAAGCAGTATATGTCACTCACACAAAAACTGTCCTTTTCCATTATAAAAAAGATGATTTGATATCTACCTGTCATGTTTTACATGAACTTTATAAAGGTTTTTATGGTAGACATGGACTAGCTCTCTTTATAGATACACAAAAAACTGTGTACCTATTTATGTATACACCTAAAAAATGTTTCATTAAGGTTAACACTGAAACTTGTGTATCACGATAGACACATACGTTGTCTATTTCTCTGTCTGCTGTGTTTATTGTACTAAGGCATTAGGCTAGTATAGCTTACAGGGATTTGTACTTCTTCACATGTGGTTTTCTCCAGTGGTCAGAGGTCAGTGGCCAGAGGGTCATGTTTGCTTGACCACAAATCTGGACATGATATTCTGAAAGATTTGTCAACTTCATGATAAAAAATTCCAATTTATTTGGTGTTTCAAAATTGAATTTAAGAATGATTGTTTCAATTTTTGTGTGAAATGAAAATGTTGCCCACAGGTTTTATCATGATTTTACATCCTATTCCTACACAAATTAGGAAAATGTAGCAATAGTTTTATGGCAATTGGGAAGATATTCCAGACTTTTTTTTTTAATTTTGGGAAAATAAAGCATTTTTTTTGGCTAGAGAAAGCAGCCTGTTTTTGGCTGTTAAATAAGACAAAAAAATGGTGGTTAATTTATCTCAATTCATCTTGCTGTTAGGATAATCTATACATATCGGATAATATTCTTTTGAGAGTAAATCTGCCTGATAATATTCTCTTTATTTTAAATCAGTCGGGTAATATTACTTTAACTGTAAATCTGCTAGGTTATACTGTTTCCATAAGTATTAAGGCTACTAAGCTTTAAGGTCTACTCCACTGCGGTTGATCCAGTGTTGAGATATGGTCAGATTCTGTCTGGAGATGAAACAGTGGCTTTGTTGTCAGGATTATTAATTATGAAATGATGATGATGTCTCCTGGTACCTTCTATGACTGATCTTGTTAGTTAATTAATGAGAAAGATTTGAGAGACAGTAATGGGAGGGGATGTGGTATCAAAAGGTACTTGTTCAGTGAGACTGGAGAGGTGACATATAGCATAGCTACCTTCTGTACTCAGGCTTTGCTCAAGTATTAATACATAGAGAAGATTTATCAGTTTCATCATTAATTATCTTGGGTCAAATCTATGTTTCATCTATCTGATATGTATCTGTCTGTCTCCTCCTAACTCTAGGATGTCGCCTAAAGTGCTACTCACCTACATTTCATTGAAAGCATTAAACTGGTTTACCAGGTATTTGTAGAAAAAGTATGAAAGTAAAAAAAAAATATCATCACATTAAAATATATTATTGTCACTGTCACTAGTACTAGTAATTTTCAGCAGAACTATTCCATATCAAACAGTCTGATGATGCATTTTCCTGAATTTCTGTTGCTAAAGTTTGAGTATTTTGGATATTTAAAAAAAAAAAACAGCATTGAACTGGTGACCTATCAATTGCCAATTCTACACCTAACCAATGTTGCTATCAAGAAAGTGTAAATGTACAGCATTAAAATGAAAGACGAATACCTCACAAAGTGAAAATATTATTTAAGATTTTGGCAAACACATGGGTGAAACATGGGTGAATGAATTCACCCATGTGTTTGCCAAAATCTTAAATAATATTTATTTTAAATATTCAGAGGGCAAACTTTGGAAGGATGATAACATAATGGTTTATTATAGTCTAGTTATTATGCAGGCCAAACATGAATTTTGCTACTTTTAAGCTGACATTGAAATACAAATTTTCAAATCAAATAAACCAGTCATAATTTATTGCAAGGCCAAAAACAATCTTGCGTATCTTTTTGTTGTCCAAAATTATCAGTAGATATTATTTTTTATGTTAGCAGTGCTTATTGAAAAATTGGTTATAAAAAGATAACAGAAGCAAAATTATTTTTCGTTTATTGCTTTCCTTCACAAGAAACTAGTTAGAAACCTGCTTTCAGTATTGCACATTTTACAAATTGTCAGCATAGTTAGAATTTACGTTCATGAATTTGTAAATTGGCAACTGTTCAAAGCACATGTTGCAGGTTTTATTTATAGAAGACTTGATCATTTATCACATGAAAATATGGCTTCTATCTTCAATAAAAAGCTAAACATTGCATGTGGATGTTTTTATTTTCAATCAGATATGACAGTAATGTTCAGCTATAAACAAGGTCACTTATTGTTTGACTATTGTTATGGAAGATTTATATTTTTGTTTGCACTTTATTTTTCATTTCAGTTATTTTTATACTTTTATCGTTGTTTTGGATTTTTGCTGTCTATTTGTGTTTTACTCCTTTGTTTTACATACAAGTTATATCAGGTTGCATGTCACATTATTGGGATCTGAAGTTTCTGATCCCAAATGTAACCATGCGGTATACTGTATGTATCAAGTTCCACTGCAGAGTAGGGTATAGAATCCATATGGGAAAGTTTCCCATAGTATAGAACTCTGATCAATATACAGACACTTGACAGCAATATTTTATGATCAGCGACTTCCTAGAGAGGAAATGTTCTGGAGGAAGGGTGGGGTCTTCTTTATGACCACTTATTAAAGAGTTATGATGCCACGTCATAAATATACGGTGTCACGTGTCACGTATAGGAATATTGGGTCATTTTATTATGATGTGGACTTGTACATCCTAGCATGAGTTCAAAGGTTTACTTTAATTTAATTTAGTCTTGAAAGGAGGTTCTCCAGATTGACATTTGACAATGCATTACAGTAAACAATAGGGTATAGAGGCAATGCCGATTGTTTGTACTTGGGTGTATCTGGGGGTTCTTTACCCTTCAACTGGAAAGCTTTATCCACATTTGATATGTTTTCTTGGGTTTATAAAATTGCTTCAAGACATCAGCAAAAACTGCATGTAGATATATCAGTTCAGAGCCGGCATTCTTGGGCAAAATAGAAAACGGATAGGACCAACATCCTCATTTTATGATGGTGTGAAGCTAGTTATTATACCTGCTACTAGCTCAAACATTTTGGTAAAGAATTTTCCAACTGCTTTATCTACTAGCTTATAATCTCCCCCTAGTTTGAAATTAGGGACTCTGAATTGAGACATCCAAGTGATCAAAATTATTAGTCTGAATGATTTAATTTGATATATTCCAGAGACTTTATGAACAGCTATCAAGAAATTTACATCAAACTCTAAACATAATTTGTTGCTAACATGGACAATGGAATATGCATTAAAATGGTACAGACAGCGGAATAATTGACACCTTTAAAGTCTTTCAACTCCTTCCAACTGTAGTTTCAGCTAATATCATTTGTCAAGATAATTTTTGCATGTAATTCATAAAGGAATTTAGTAATTCAATTTTCAAACCTGTAGGAGATTTCCTATCACTCAAAAATATATCTTGTTCCCCCAGTATTACAATTATTTTTTATGTGCTGGACCTAACTTTAAAAAAAAAATGGTAAATGTGTTGGTCTGTTTAAAATTTGTGTATGAAACAAGGAATATTTCACAGTGCAATCCTTATGCCCATTTACACATAGTATTCCCACACAAGTACCTGTACAAGTATATGTGTACGTACAGGTAAGTCATATTCAATGTGTGTTTGTACTGTCCACAAATACATGTTACAAACTAGTCCACAAGGTACACCTATCATCGTAATGAAGATGCCTAATGGTGTTTCTGTCAGTACTGGCGACACGACCATTACCAGTCAAAGATTTATTCTCACAATATCCAGTACAAAAATTACTGTATTATGTATCTATTTTCCTTTATTTTAGTAACTATATTCAAAAGAAAAACTTGAGTATTATTTATGGGTTTAGATCATAAATCTAAGTCGTATGTTTTGTCTCCTTTCTATATAAAGCTAATGTTTATAATGTGTGTCACCTTTGCTAACTATTTAATAATAATGCCATAATTTGTCTCTTATGCTAATGATGTGTATAGCTATTGCTATATATGTGTCTCCTTCACTAAGTATTTAAATCTATGACATATGCGTGTTTCTTTCATTAACAAGTTAAGTTTATAAATGTATCGTACAAGTGTCTTCTTTGCCACCTATTTAAAACTAAGGCAACAACAGTTGTGTCACATCCACTGTCAGTCCAGTTAAAACCTAGTCCTTTGTCGCCTTTGCTTTACTATTTAATACTGAATTGGTATAGTTGTGTTTCGTTTACTTTATACAACTGACTTGTGAAGTACCTGAGTTCAAAGTTCATTGACAGCAGCGTTAGGTTGGATCTATAAATAGATATGTGACCATGACAAATGACAATGTACATATAGTCTTATCTGGGCAATTTGAATACAACCTGCCCACCTTTATGAACCAATGACAGAGTAGGGTTTGAACCGACCCATATCCTCCTTTCCACTAAGCCTGCTGTTTGTGTATATACACACCATGTGCTTTCATTTGGCGGCACAATGAGTCAGGTTTATTTACCCATGTTTATAAGTGTGGTTCGTGATGACAAATGCAGGTTATTGACAGCACTGACATCATCGATAAATTGGAAAAGATTGATTTAGCTACAATTCTGTTCACGGATGTTTGTACATTGTCACTCTGTTTTCTGTTCCTGAAACACTTTCATTTCTAATTTCTTTGACCAACACTGATGTCTAGCTTAGTATATATACAGATTAGATTTCTGCTTTATCAGAGCATGTGATGTTTTGATCAGTGGACACTAGTGATAAATGTATTATCCATTGGATGGGATACACCTGCTGTAGGGGTCAGTATCAGAATCAACTGTTATCACCGGCACATGTCTTAGGTAACAACTGTGATGCAGCATACCTGTGGCTTCACGCTAGCGGTTGACCATAACAACAGAATATAATCACTGAATGCCTTGTGAACCTGTGCTACTTATGGTCATTTTACAACAGTGTCTTCGTTGCTGTGAAGCTGCTGTAATCATTGTACATAAGTACCTGTGTAAAGCAGACTTGTGAATGGGAACACTTTTATGTTAAATTTTCAAAACATACAGGACTGGTTATTACTTTACCAGAGTTTTTCAACACATGTTGAAAATTGGAGCTACATTCAAAATGACGACAGGTATGCTGTTCGTCATTAATCTATGGTAAGTGCGAAAATATTACTTAACCTGCTATAATTTTAAATCATATTATCTTAGATGTATATTTACTTTCATGAATGTCAACCATACAATAGAAGTCTAGGTATCCAATCTAACAATCATTGTTGTAGCCCTGTACATTCAAACACCTGGCTGATTTTATGTGTATTATACCATGATGGTTAAGCACTGTAACTGATATAATATCATAAATTACATTATACTGTTTTGTGCTGATATTTAATTAAGTGAATGCAATAAAGTGGTGCACACTTTGTTACCCGCATGGATAAAATGTCGTTGCAGCTGTTGTATTATGTTTCTTCTCATCCATCTTGATTTAATCGTTAGTGTGTGTTTATGCTGGGCTGTAGGCCTTAGGTGACATCTCCTCATTCATCGTAGAGTTCATTATCATGTTTTACTGTCCAGACTGCATATAGTTAGTGCAGATTTTACTGCTCAAGTGTGTTGTACTGGACAGTGGTATCTACCTGTGTATAACAATACCTAGGATGACCTCTACAGGGGGTCTCAAGTGTGTTGTACTGGACAGTGGTATCTACCTGTGTATAACAATACCTAGGATGACCTCTATAGGGGGTTGCTTCTATAAACTCCAGTTGTTCAAAGTGGGTAGGAGAAATGCAGATTTTTGGATTGCAGAGTTGCAGGCTACTTTCTTGGAGAGGTCTGGTTTACGTTGGTTTCTTGATAGTTCATGATTCAGTTTAGACAGTATCAGCATTAAAGTTGGAATATTTTCCTACTTATTGACTAATTGCAGTAATTATTGGGACCATGATTACTCAAACATTGGTCTAGACAGTTGATGTTGTATTTGAAAATACTTCCTGTATCATTTGGTTGTTTCATCACAGTGAGTAGCTGGTACCAGGCTAGGGCAGAGTTATATCACTTGTATACCACTTGTAAACCACTTGGTGACCTATCAGACTATTGAATACTGTGTTTGTGGTCAGTGTTAATGTCCTAGTGGTGGTGGTACGTTCATGAGGTGATCATTGAAAGTTTTCCTTGTGTTCATGATGAACCTGGTGACATGATCCTGTGACTAGGGATGATGGTGATTAATTGTTTAGTAAATGATGAACTATTTTTTGTAATAAAAGGTATGGATCTTTTCTCGTCACTCTAAATCAGAAAAAAGAATTATGTGGTGAACGATATTCCAATCGAGGCCAGAATATCAGAAAAGGTGATAATTTTGAAAAAATAGAAACAGTTCCTATATCAAAGAAGTCTATATTGAAATATGAGCAGGGCTGTGTTACATTTAAATGTTTAACTGATTCTTGGGTATTTCCTTGATTACTGAAAGTAAAGACCAAACCTCTATACTGGTACATGTTGGGATAGAGAGTATTTTCTTGGTTTCATGTTGGGGTAGTAATATTTCAAGAGTAGGGTGAATTTTTTTGTTATTTTTCACCAGAGCACTTTCTATCAAAATCAAGTTGAACGTACGTATTATAACTTGACTTGTAATTAAGCTATGAAGCTTTGCTGAATTTGATCCATCAGTTTATTACATTGTAACCAATTCCCTGCTTTCCACTTAAGTGGCTTACAAGTCTAATATGGTATAATTGTCAGAGGTGTGACAACGGATAGAGAGTCCTGCTATCATAATAACACTTAAGTCAGCTTTACCGTTTTGTTAATATCCACGAGGACTCAGGTGAAAACTGACAACTCAGGTAGATAGGTGCAATTTTCTAAATTGTGTATTGTTTTGCTATTCAGAAAGGGCTACTCTTGCACATTGCCTTTGGTTTGCATATAGATGTTTATTGTTCTTGTGGGGGGGGGGGGGGCGGGGGGGGGAATTTGTTTTTTAATGATTGCTCATATTTTATGATTCCTTTATAAAATTTGCTTCCAAAGTTAATGATTTGTTTGAAAGAAGAATTGTAATTTGTGACAGTTCAGGTACATTGCAAAACAAAGTTTTCTCAGCGAACAAATTTGTTTCAGATCATTTATTAGAATAAAACACAAAATGGTTGGGGTGTATCAACTTGTGCCTGACACAGCCTGACACAAAAAAAACAATAAACATATATAAGGTATGATGTTATAAGAATTAGGGCTTGGAGTATCGTAATATCTTTGAAATAATTTCGTAGATGATTGACATTCAGGCATTTGAATTGGAGTCATGAAAATAGACACATTTTTAAAACATATTACATATAACATACCTGCTAAATTGATTGAAAGTCACATGAAATATCATTTGATAAAACATACCACATGATGACATGATAGATCACATGATATGTGTAAGGTAATTGCAATGTGACCATCACCTTGAGTTGTAAATTGCAGTTATGGGTAAATATTAATTATGGCTGTTTATCATTGTCTGAGTATTATCTAGGGCCATACTTTATCTAGGTATGATTAGTTTATCATATATATCACAAGTTTCACTTGTACACAATCACATGTACTAGGGTATGATACGTATACACGAATGGGTTGACCAGACAAGGCTGTATGTAAGTGTCGGACAACAATGCAAATGTTGCCCTTCTAATGTCAATACAGAGAAGTCACTGGATAAGCCGTTGGTCAAATTGATATATCCACATCAAACACTGTGCAGGTACAGATGCCCCAAATATCAAGCATAGACAAATAAGGACAAATAGTTCGTCAGAATTTGTGGACAGATGGATTAGTAGTAACTGTGGCTGTTGTTTATTTTGGCAGAGTTTCTACCATTCTCAAGGTTAACATTTCAGTGGTAGAATCCACATAGACTAAATGTTACCTTGACACATTTGAACCAGTATTAACCCGTTCACCCCTATGTAACTTTAGTAGGCTCTACCATGCATTGATCTGGGTGAGTCCATTATGGTCTACAGTGGTGAAAGGGTTAAACCATTTGCAAGGTCAACATTTGCCATGACAGAAATAGAACCTTTTACAAGATAGAAGAGATGTTCAACTACACATGATTCTGTTGATAATTCAAAGTTTTACCGGTTTTAGGAAGTATTAATTAATCTGTGATCATGGAACCTATGCCTTCTTAGGTTGGATTATTAGATCTTTTTACGAAGTTGATCTTCAGTTAGAATTTTGAGCATTTATGTCCGTATAATGCTACAATCGAGCATTGATTTCCTGTTCATCGATTGCTTAGTGTTTTGGATTTTTGTCAACAATTTGTATAAGTATATTAATAGTGAAATGTTCAAATATTTCCCGCTAATGAAATGTGATTTGAAAGGTGCAGTAGTTGGCTATTTTCCTTCAAAGTGTTGATATAACGGGCTGTGAAATCTCCTTTTGACTGGGTGTGTTCTGTATGGAAGGGTGGGAGATTTGACATAGTCTTCAGTGTCAAGTGTTGTGGCTTCCTGCTTTCCTTGCCACAGTTCTGCTTTACCAGATAACAGGATTATCACCGGTACAGTAAAAATGGGTTTCCTGGTGCATTTCCAAGTGTTGGTTTAGTATGCATGTATATATATATACCTTAAGGCTTTTTCCAGGCACTTGTAAAAAAAAATATGAAAATATTAAACCAAGTTCTTTTATATTTCAATACAGAATATCTTGTTATTATTTCAAATTGATAAAAGAGTTTTGTAAGGAATATAAATTTGGACATTTTTCCTGAAATTGTGTTTCTGAGTTGTATGTAATATATACTTACAAGGCCAAGTCAATGTATGCCCTGCCCTTATACATCTGGACATAGATGGGGAAAACTTCAGACAGTAAAAATCCTTTCAAACTCAAGTAATCAAATTCATTTTGTTTCCTTCAAGTGTATAAAAACAGGTGTTGTTTTGTTGCTTTCCTATTACTTTGATTTAGCCGAAGTGAGTTTGCTATGAAGTTTACATATAAGAAGATATTAAATTGATATACTGTGGTGCAAGCTAACCATACGGTGATGGATTGTTTTGTGTTTCATTATCTGATAATTATATTAGAATGTTAAGTTAGATGTAGGAATTTATAGCATACTTTTAATTACCACTTCTTTGCCCCGAGGTAAAATATAGTTCATGCAAAGTAATCTTGCTCTCTGAAACAGCCTGTGGAAAAAGTTAATGAAGCACAAAATTAACACATGTTCGGCTGTATTTGATGATACAGGGTTGTGGTCTTTCTCGGGAACCTAGAAGGTTTTGTGGTAATTTGTTTTCTGAATCATGCTTACAGCTTCGTTTGAAGTTTTACAAGTTCCAGAAATTCTACAAGTTCCAGTAATGTAGAAGTGAAATATAATTTAGCCGCAAAAGTTAAGGTAAACCATGGTTATACTGATCATAATGTACCTTTGGCTCCAATTGATCTTTTATCTTTTGAAGTCCAGCGAAATTCTTAGTACATGTGCCCATTATAATAGTAATGATGAAGTTTTGTGTAGAGGATTTTGAATTAGATTATCAAAACACCAAGTCTATCTACCTTCGGATTTTATGAAAAGATTCATAACAGGGAAGAAATTATCCAAATTCTTAATCATAAACCCACTCTATCCGCATGCGAGATTGCGTTTGTCAGCGTTTATGTAATTAAGATGTATAGCCTCAGCCTAGCTTAAACCATATCAGTCCAATTACATGTCAATCTCATTACACAATATAGCTTATATATAGGCAATCCAGTAACTGCTATTGGCAGTGTTATATTTGGATAGGTACATAAAGAGTTATTTTGATCGGTACAAAAGAAGTGGGGACCAGAAGTAATAGAAACAATTCGAGAGTAATTCAGGATTTCTCAATGGAATGGGCTTAACATATCAAAAAGGACTAAGTGGAACTGGAGTCTTTATAATGACCTCATCTTGAGTTTTCAGTGGCGCGATCTCTCATATAAAACGTTTAACACATGTCTAGCTTCATTTGAATAGTGGAGATTTCTTGTGTCGTTGTTCGTGTAAGCAGAGCATCATCAGATGAACAGTGTGTTGCGTAAGACAGGATGATACTAGGGAGTCCCGGCAGACA